AGAAATCAAGGCTAAATGTTCAACTAGCTATATTTGAGTGTCAACTTGCATCTCTTTCCTCCTAACCTCTTCATTCCTTACTAGATAATAGACATGGTGTAAATCTGGCATTTCATCCCTTCCCAAAATTTGAGACCTTATGCTCTCATATATTGGGTCTAAACCAGCCAAGAATTTAAGGGCTCTACCCTCTTCAATTTGTTTATCATGCCTCTCCTTGTCTTTTGCATTCTCCCAATCGAGAATAWGATGRTGATCAAGYTCTYCCCATAGTCCTTCTAGGGTTGCAAAATACGTTGCAACTATCATATCTCHTTGTCTCAATGCAGCAATGTCTTGGTTTAGCCTATAAAATCTGCCATTGTTCTTTCTCTGTCCATAAGTTTTAGACACTTTCTCCCAAATCTTAGCAGCAGTGGGAAAGTGTTGAACAGTCCCGGCCACTCTTAAAGTCATCGAAGCAAGCAACCAGGACATAACAGTAGCATTTTCCTTACGCCATAATGCGTACTCCACACTACCCACTTCAGGTTCCTTCTTCTGTCCATCTAAATAACCCGTAAGTTCTCGGGAAGCAATGAAGAGCATGGCTGAAACAGACCATTCTCTAAAGTTATATTCATCCAACAATACACTGGTGATCTGCAAGCTGTGCAGATTTGGATTTTCCAAATTAGGAAACCTCCCACTGGTTCTATTATCCCTAGAAGACACTTCTCCCGATATTGAAGACATATCCTTCCTCTTACAGTGATCACAATTGAAAACTCAGTACAAAGAACACTATTTCAGACTTACCGAGGCTGTTACAAGTCTGAGAACCCCTCGTAACAGGTCTGAAACCAAGAACCAACCACCTCTGTACTGTGCTGAACTCTTTTGGACTAGGCTGGACTTTGACTTCTGCTGTCGTAGACTGTGATCACCCTTACGATCTGTACTAGGACTGTCGAAGTCAGTCCTTCCACCTAGATCTGTTCCACACAGATCTCTCTTAGCAGTCGAATGGCTACTACCTGCTGCAAGGTGTATAGTAGGGCATTGGCTTCTGGAACAAACTCCCCTTGGGCCCTACAACCAAGGGAAACCCTAGATACAGACCTTGCTGTGTTCTACGGTCAGCCCTAGGGTTTCTTCACAGTGGCCAAGATAGGAGAGAGAGAGAGAGGAAAAAAAAAGGAATAGAGAAGAGTAGGAAAGTGGCGGCTGTAACCAGACAGATGGATTAGTGCTCTGATACCATGTTTGCTGGAATACAGCAGCCGAAGAAGAAGAAGAAGAAGAAGAAGAAGAAGAAGAAGAGAAGATTTGAGAATGGCGGCTTGCACACTTCAGCCGGCCCAACAATCTTATATAGATGTTTACAAAATAATGTTACATGAATGGACTAGAATGCCCTTGATTAGTGATGGGACACCTAGACAAATAAAACATTAAACAAGTTTAGGCCCAATAACCAAGGACTTAAGACACAAATATGACTAACATAAACACTAAACCAGCCGAACCAACATTATGGATAACAAATAGATTGATTGCATTATCGGATGCAGAGGTACATAATGCCCACATTCCAAACAAAAAAGGTGGACATGGGCATAATTTACCTTCAACAGGCCTTCAAAACTTACTGATACATAGAACCTTTATAAGATTTATAAGAGCATTAAAGTACCATACCGATGCAATCTTTTAACATTGTGGAAAAGAACCCACAGGCTATTCCTTTTATTAATGCATTACACTACTTACTAAAACAATTAACAAAAACAAACTAGAAGCTTCTTCACCATTAATGGCCTCATGGTTTACAAAATCTACTTAGGCTAATGCAGAAAAGATGAAAGGAGATTGGTTTAATTCCACCATGAGTAAGAAAATTGAATACAAGTTGGTTACGTTTTCAACTTTAAGTCTGAGATAAGTATAAATTATTCATGAATCACTCACTTGTGTAAAGCTGATATGAGAATCCACATATATATCTGCTCCATCTCTTTCAAAAACAGGATCTTTTTTAACCTGCCAATCAATAGAAATGTAAAGTTAATAAAATAAAATGATTAAGAACCACAGACTCCATAAAAATACAACTTCTAGGACATGGAGACATTAGATTGTAACTTCCATTTCTCAAGTAACTAGGCATACAGTCAAATTCTATCATTAGTTCAAAATCTTCTAAAGTGGACAATGATTAATTCCAAATTACAGACCATACCACCTAGAAATGAGGGTTTGCGCAGCATTCTCTTTATAAAATGCACCTTACCTCATAATTAATTTATTCAAGATCATGGTCTAGACCAGAACTTTAGCAAAGACCAAGATCACATGAACAAAAATTCTTAGCTTCTAAGCAGAAAGCTCCCACTTACAGTTTGTGTCAAGGTAGTGAGGAGTTTGCATACCCAGGAGTGGTTATTCAAGTGGATCTCAGGGATGAAAGTCAATCCAAGTAAGAGCAGTTTATAAGGGATTAACATTGATAAGAATGCAGTTGCTGAGTATGCTAGGATACTCAAGTGTGAGGCTTGAGATTGGCCTCCTATGAGAGTTCAGGTACCCAAATAGAACATCTCTTCAACTGAGAAATTGTTGTCTTTAGGAAAATGAAGGTTTTTGTTTTGTGGGCTCCTTGTTAAATGGGATGACGTTGTCTTCCTATCTTAAGGAAATGGTGTCTCTTTGCTAATAGGTCCTATTGTACGCCATAATTGTCAAGGCAACGACTAGGCGGTTTTACAGTATCGCCTTGCCAAAACGCCTATGTTTTGTATACTAGGCGACCGCCCAGAGACTTAGGCGGGTGCCTAAATCCAGCTTCAGTGCTCTTTTTTTTTTCGAAAAAACAGGGGCTTCTCTTCCAGCCCAGCTTCAGTTCCTTTTTTCTTCGAAAAAACAGGGGCTCCGCCCCTATACTCCTCCACCTTCTACTCCTCTATTCTCCTCCCTTCCTAGTTACTGGCTTCCTGCACTTATTATTTTTAACAGCCGAACCTACTCTACTCCCTTCCTAGTTCCCAAACTTATAAAAATAGTTTAGTTCAGATTCCATCGCCTGGGTGCCCCATGATCGCCTAGCCTCGCCTAGTCACCTTGACAACTATGTTGTACGCAAATACAAGTGCATGCCTAGAATACCAGTATTTGACAATGATATGTACCCAATTACAATTCTAGATATTTGCGTTGATAATTGCAGAGTATATTTTTTGGAATCATGGCTTCTAAAATACAAAAATGGACAAATAATACTAGAAATCTGTTTATGCTAGAAACTTATTTAAAATTTGACAAGATAAAGTATAAAGAAATGACGCTTAGATTCAAAACCTAGATACAAAAGCATGACATTAGCATATTAAATGAGATATCCATACCCATATTGATGTCTGGGACCAAAAGAAATGGAGAAATGTAGCCTCACTTCCCAATATGCATGTCAATTTTGGTATCCATATTTGGGCATCATAGATTGGGGAAATTTTGAGGGGATAATACAAGAGTTGGTGGAACATTATTATGGAGTGTTGCTCATCAAAAACAAAATGATATGTTCATTTTCTATCCTTCTTACTACTTGTAAACCTCTACATTTTCTTTTCAAATACTTATGTTTTCCTTTTTCTGGCAATAAAAAAATATATTAAGAATATAACCTTCTTAGACTCAAAGCCTTTTTTTATCAATAACAGGTAAATTCCATTAATAAGAAAGAAAGCCTTTTCCTATGAGCATGGTTTTGAACCTTCACAAAAATTGAATTAATTCCATGTAAAAGCCTTCACTTCCAATGACAACGAAAACAAAACCTTGTCTCAAATTCAATAAGTTTTCCTTGTCCCAACCAAAATATTACACTTGTAGCATAAAAAATATTTGACAACTTGGCCTTCAACATGTGGAGGTAGAGGGGGAAGCTGATAATCTCTTGGAGGAGTGACAACAATCCAGGGGTATGGATCCACAGGCAAATCATAAAAGTGATCAAGAGTTTAGCAAGGGAGATGGGGCCATGGGGGACACATTCAAATGGGTAAAAAGAACTGCAAATGGGATGGCTGACTCATCAGCTAAGCAAGGAGTGTATAGGGAACAACTTTTTTGGGCAGAATCATAATCGGGTTTGCTAGAAAATTGTAAAAGGGCTGGATTATTCTGCACCACCATTAATTTGTAATATTTTTTAAGTAAATTAATGAAATCAATTGTTTGCTGATCAATTGAGAAACAAGCGTCTTTACACAAAGAATGAAATACCACCAAACCTTGCCTAGAAGTTAATTTGTTAAGAGTATTCAAATGGATGGGGATTAAGGATAATCATGAACCAGTCCAGGCCAGGTTCTGATAGAGGCATAAGAGCATTTTGATCTTCCTGAACCCACTTCTATGTGAGCTGGGCTGGGCATCCGGACTCACCCAAATAGGCCATTGATATTTAAACATACTGTGAAATCTAATTTATGTTCAAATTACAAAAAATAATATATACAATTTTGTTTTATCAATTGCAAACTTAATATCATCTTTAAAATCATAATTGCCCCCTTAATTCCTTACTAGGATTGTGTACACTGGCACATAATGTTGTTTATCTGACAAGAATATTGCCTTTGGTCACAAGAGCATCAATACAGAGAATTCGGATTAGCTGAACACTTTAACTGTTCAGCGGGCTGTGGAACCAATGATGAGGTTCCATCACTATGCCAGTGATAAATTCATGGGCCCCACTGTAAAGATGTGGGCCCCATGTATTTAAATAATGGTGTTGAACCTTATCATTGGTTCCACAGCCCGCTGAACAGCTAAAGCGTTCAGCTAAACCTTGCTCCAATACAGAGGACTATGTTCAATCTAATGCCTCATCTGTAATAAGGAACCAATATCAAGATTTAATGAAATAGATAACTATCCTATAAAAGCTAAAAAGTAAATAAGATGAAAAATAAGGAGAAGCTTGCACCTTTAATCTTATGTATAGACTTCCAGGTTGAACTCCCCGTCCACCACTATTTCCAGCCTTTGGTACATGAATTGTATCCCCATAGTCCACACCTACACCATCAAAGAAATTGTAGAAAAAATGAGGAATCACTTAAGTCTTGTTCGCCTGCATCAATCTTATTATGTATATGGTTCCTTTTCTGGATGTTTAATATGAACTAAACCTAGTCAGGTTTTCCATAGTAGAAAAGGAGGTTGAGAAAACAAAGTCAACAAAAAAAGAGAAACTCAATGTCACACAAATGAATAAACCAGAATAAAAGGCATGCACCAAATATACAACGTAATTACTGAGTACACTTTCAAATGCTGTAACATTATTATCAATGAGACCTTCTCCCAAAAAAACAAAAAAGAAACAGTGTCAATGATACCAGATTGCAGCTTAAGGATTAATCTGCTTTGATTCCCATTTCAAAGAAAACAATAAAAATAGAAACTAACCTGCCGGGATTGTTACTTTAACTTCCTTTACACCTTCAACCACCCCAGATCCTCTGCATGTGGTACAATATTCCTGAAGCAAAGAAGAAAAAATAAAAAGAAACATTAAAAATACTATTTTTCCATAAAGAAATCAAGTGTCTTGGAATTAGCAAAGCTTGTAGCTAACCTTGATAATTTGACCTGATCCTTTACAAGAATTGCATGTTGATGTGAATGGAGGAAGTGTAACCTGAATGACAATAATTGAAAGAGATAAAATGCTTCCATTACATATTGGGAAAAGAAACGATGTCCTCATAAAATGGACCTCTCTAGAAAGATTTAACTTTTCAATTGATAAGAACTTCCAGCAAGGATATCTGAAGCACTTACTCTTCCAATGCCTTTACAGGTTGGGCATACTCTGAGCTTGGCACCAATTGGGTAACCATGTCCATCTACATCACAACATAAACGAGGATGTGAAAAAAAACAATAATAGCTCTAACAGAAGAGATCACAAACTCTGTCAAGCATGACAACATACCTAGTCTGATATAAGCATGTGTAAGATAAAGGAAAGGCCAGATGAAATCCATTACCAAAAAAATGAACACCATGTTTTAGACTTGAAAAGTTGACATTATTTGACAATCAGATTTTGGAAGTTCTAACTGAAAAGATACATGGTATAAAGGCCCATTGCTTGGTATGCTGGTAAAATCCCCAGCTGACAAGTCTGAGAAAAAGGATTCTAGTTTCAGAGTTGCCACTTTTTTTTAATTAGTATTCTATTAGTATAAAAACAGAGTGACAAATAAAGACCATGTACAACCATTTTGTGTATAACTGTATACGACCATGGTTCTAAGTATCGATACACCCAATACGCCTGAACATGTGTATTGAGCTTTCAGGTGACCGATATACTATTGTTTTATTTTTTTAGTTTCTTTTTTCTTTGAAGATAAATAAAGAAAAAATATTGAGAAAGACAAAAGGAGTACAAGAAGGTGATAACTGATAAGATATCACCCACAAACAACCAAAAGAGCCACCATCAGCCACAAACCAATACCCAACTGGGGGAAAAAAAAAAGAAAAAAAAAAATGAAGCTATCCACAACCGAGACCAAAAGTATACAAGTTAGAACACAACCGAAGCCACCCCATCTCACCTTCCCCCAAAACAGAACCTAGAATTCCACCCAAACATAGCCCCATTCACAAATAAAGAAACCAAACACACTCCAAACCTTCAACGATTGAGTTAATAACCTCTTTTTTTTTTCTTGAAAGCTTTTCTTGTCTTCTTTACCCTCTTGTTAATTCCAACCCAAGATAAGCTCCCTTCAATCTAGCAAGCATCTTTCAAACTGGCATAGTTAGGTTATTTTTTTGGTGTCTAAATCTTTTAACTGTGTTAGGAAGGACCTTACTATTCTTCCTCTCCCCATGATTTATAATTAATTCTTTCTAACTCTAAGACTGTGTCCTTCTCAAACATTTTCTCCGCTGTCAATTCGACGCTCTTCTTTTGCACAAGCCTTGCTTCACTCGGAGATCTATCTTCCTTCACCTCTACAGCTGTAGAAAAAAATGTTTTTTGATCAATAACAAGTTCATTAATTAATCATAAGAATAATTACAAAGAAGACAAACTTTCTTATCTTCCAATTACAGCTTGAGCCCCCAAGAAAAGAAAAGAGAAAAAATAAAATTACATCTGAGCCCAAAACATTGATTCCCTCTCCACCCCTTGTTTAGCTAACTCATCAGCAAAAGAATTAGCTGATCTTTTAACCCAACTAATCTTAACTTCCATCTCTTGAACCAGCCACTTGAATTTCCTCCTCACATTGCTGTAATTCCATAAGCCACTGTTTTCTTTATTCAACCACCCTACCACCACCTCCGAGTCCACTTCATCTATGAGTTTTCTGATATTCATCTCCCTATCTTTCTGGACTCCTTCCATAACTGCACAGATCTCAGCTCTGAGGCAGTCACCCACTCCAATTGGGCCTGAGAACAAGGCAGAAACAACCCCATTCTCATCCCTAAAAACACCCCCAATCCCTGAGTGTCCAGGATTCACTCTACTACTCCCATCAAAGTTTAGTTTTAGGAATCCAGCAGGTGGAGGGTCCAAGACACACTCATTGCTGTTTTGGTCTGGGTACAGTTAGTAACCTCACCCCACTTCCTCAACATGTCATCCACTGTGTAATCTTTGAATACCTCTAAGGATTTCAGCCACTGTACAACCCTTATATGGATTAGAGTCCTCAGTTCTTCAGCACCTCTCTCTACTTCTGAGAAAATCCCGGAGTTTCTTTCTTCCCATAAAGACCAGCATACCGCAGCCCTCAGTCCTCCAACAAGATTTGAAATGTCCTTCTCGCTATTCTTCAAAAGCCCACCAGAATTTTCTTCCACTTTTTAAAGGCTTTCCTTGCAAATTCCTCTCCATCCAAGAAAAATAAGCTCAGTGTTTTACCTCTGCTAACAACTGTTTCCATATCAACTTCCATTCAGCTTCATGTGCTTCATCCAGCATAATCACATCTTCCTCCTCGTCATTTTCAGCCTCCAAATCTTCATCAAGAGGTTTCATTCTATAGATTCTTTTTCTTTGGTAGACCTTTGTTCCTTTAATCCCAATATCTTCAATTTCTTCCCTTCCATCCACTCCTTTACTAAACCATCCTTTTCCTACTACTTCACTGAGCTATCCTCAACAAAACTTACACCCTTCCTTAAAGCCCTCTCCACCTCTTCCCTTTCCTTCCAACCACTCCATAACTTTTTCCCTTCCACCCGTGACAACTGAATCAAATCCTTTCCTGTTTTCTTCACCAACCTGTTGCAACCCACTGCCTACTAGAGAAACCTGTGGCTCACCCAAAACCTCAGTTGCAAACCCCTTGTTCCTATCTTCCTCAGCTCCCTGAAGACCAACTGACAAGTTCTTATTTGCAAACAGTCTCAAATCCGCTCACCAAGCTCTGATTGAAAAGGAAGATGATGACCAGAAGTAACATCCATCATGTGGCTGCTAACCATCCCAAGAAAGGTTGGGAGGAGGACTTTGCCTGTTCAGATTTGCGAGCATGTGGCTGCTAGACCCGGAATTTAAAAGGAAAGTAAAAGAATGGTGGGATGAGGACCAAGTAGCTTTTAGATGGAAAGGCTACAGATTCTATAAGAAGCTACAAAAGTTGAAAGCTAGGATCAAAGAATGGAATAAAGAGGAATTCGGTAGAGTTGAAGAAAAAAGAAAACTGTCACCAAAAGGGTTCAAGAATTAGATAGCTGAAGCAAGGGGAAGATTGAGGGCAGCAGAAAGGGAAGGGAGATGGAGATTGAAACATGAACTGGAGGAAATCCTTAGAAAGGAAGAAATAAGTTGGAGACAAAAATCAAGATGTAAATGGTTGAAGAAAGGAGATGGTAATACAAGTTTTTTTCATAGCCCGGCAAATGGAAGGAAGAGGAAGAATAATGTAGTAAGTTATGTTTCAACAATCTTATTATTATTATTAATGAAAGTTATTGTTTCCCATCAACAAAAAAAAAGTAATGCCCATCCCTAGCCAGCCATGTGCTTGTCTAAAAAACCTATGTGCCTCATCTTTATCTGATGGGTTACTAGCAGCTGACCCAAGTTCTTTACCCAGCCCATCATCTTTGGGTAATTGGGTTCACCGCAATGGGCCCAATCAAGCCATTCGAACTTCCTCCCACATGACCACTTGAGCCATCATGCAGATTAGCTTGGTCCAATTCAACATCCTGACTTGAACCAGTGGCCTGACCCAGCCCCTTCTCCTCATACGCTCTTTTAGACTTCTCCTTCAAAACTTGGACCTCTTGCATGTGCTTAGGTGCATTAACTCCACCTGTTAGTGCTTAACAATAGGTCTTTCTCAACTTCTACCCCTTTCAATGTAACTTTCTATCTGTTCCTTTCCTTTTCCATCCTCTAGCCTTTGTTTAGCCACTTTCAAGTATGTCTCATTACCTTTTGGCCCAATGGCTTCTTGAATGCCACATAAGCAACCACTTTTTGTCCTTTCATCTTCCTCCATGCAAGCTTCCTTCCACAAAGAAGCTTCCATGGAAGTTGCAATCCAAATAGGACAGGATCTCCCGTTTGCAAAGGCATCAACTCTTCTAGGAATGTCTTCAGGTTTCACCCCACCAAGCTTCACCATTGTCAATTGGAGGCAAGGATCAAAATTTCGATACAACACACCCCGTGTCGAGCATATCGTATCGTATCTTTTGGGTTCAAAGCCTCTTTCTTTAATAAAAAATATATATAAAAAACCTACCCAAAAAGCATTTTTAGGTCAAAGGAAAACATCCCATCTCAGTGATGCAATCCAAATAGGGCAGGACCTCCTGTTTGAAAAGGTGTCAACTCTTCTAGGAATGACTTCAGGTTTCGCCCCACCAAGCTTCACCGTTGCTGATTGGAGTTCAAAGGCAAACACCCCATCTAAGTAAGCATTACATATGCAGGTCAAAGACTTCCCTCTAGAGGTGAAATGGCAACCTAAGTAATCTTACAATAACTTCATCCTCCACTCCTACCTCTTTGATGTTTGCATTTGCACATCAATTCAAGACTGTGACTGCACCATCCTCCGCCTGAATATTCATTGCCGATATTTCGACTTTATCCTCTACCATTGCTACCAAGGCCTTACAACTTGCAAAGGAAGTAATGACTATCACCCCCTTCAATTTCAGCCCTCGTAATATACCTTCTGCAACCTTTTTCCAATCCTTTGGTTGGTTATAAGTTTCAATCACAAATTTCTTCTGCCACTCCTTGTCACCAGATTCTATTAGCTTGCCAATCCTAACCCCTTTCCCTAGAACCGTGTAAGCTTCCATTTCAGATCTACTCTTCTGACACCTGATTGAATATCCTTCCATTCCTTTCTTCCCATATGGTCCAAATCAAAGCCACCCTTACTGCTCTCTACAACATCCTTCCTCTTTTTTTTGGCTGTCTCAAGAAGTTTCGATCTAAGAGACCAACCACATCCTAGGGGGGAATCCATCTGCACCCAAAGAGAGAACAAAGATGCTCCCAAATACAAAGCACAAAAGAGCAGGAAATAAAGATATGGGAAATAGATTTACCACTTCCTTTGCAAAGGATACACATATGAGGGGAAAGGCATTTGTTTGGCCTCCTTTTCTGCAACAAGTCACAGATGTTTATCTTTCAAAGGAAAACCTCCTAACAGAGGGCCTGAATTTTATTCGCTACTCCAAATTTCTTTCACCGGGGAAGTTCACCTCCAAAGTAATAGGTTGTACTCATCTATTAAAGAAAGCGGCACAAGTAAACAATCCATCTGGAGTGATTGACCAAACTTTAGGCCCCGTTTGGTGTGTCTTTCTACACGGTCTTTTGGCTGCTTACAAGCCAGGAAGACCGAAAATCAGTCTATTCCCGTTTGGCACGCGGAAGATCTCGCCACCAAAAGACAGGGCGCCGAAAAGACACAGGAAGCCCATTTTGGGCTGATTTTGGGAAGCTCTAAATGAAGCTCCCCGCATCTTCCACGTTTTAATATCGTGCAGAAAGACCCGAAACGACGCATGGAAAGATGCGCGTCAGCCAAACGGTCTTCAGGCTGCCCAAATCTTATGTCAAAAGCTCAATGCGTCTATTGACTGTTAGAGCCACAAGAAGATCTTCTCAAAAAGACTTGCCAAACAGGCCCTTAGTGTCCTCTATATTTTGGTCCAAAAAACTGAATCAAGCCTTGGCCAAAAGAAGGATGAGAGATTCATACTCCATCTCCCGATGGCCCCTTTGGAACCTAAAGTCACAATTTAACCCCCAATGAGGAGAAAACCACAAACTTAGTGATGGGTTCGGCCCTGTAGTTGGAGAGTGCATAGAACATAGGAAAACAAGCCCAAAATTGGCAAATCAAAAACAAGTCAAAGATAGATCCAAAAAATAGAAAACTCAACAGACCTATCTAATGACACCAAATCACACAAAATTGACAGGCTTTGATCCCTGAAAGTAAGAGCTGAAAGAAAAGTAACATCATTGCAACTTCTTTTTTTTTTTGGTAGTAATTGCAACTTCAACATTTCAAAATACTAAAACTCTATCATAAGACTGTTTTAATTATAATGGCCCTTTAAAACATTAACCCTACCCCTAAGATACCAATACACTAGAGCAATGTTTTCAACCCGCTGTTGACCCAACCAGTTGAACCGCTCAAACCGTCACCCAATCAAGATTCCGGGTCCGGTTTGAGTAAAACCCAGAGAAGGTTAAAAAAAATGTTGACTTCGTCAAAACCCATCTGACCCGAACAGTTGGGCCGTTGACCCATTCAACTCGGTGACCAGGTCGCAGGTTGCATAGGCGCCTTGCCCCATTATTTTTTCCCAAAAAAAACTTTTTTGGCCTCAAATTGCAAATTTTAATTTTTTTACAAAAAAAAATTTAAAACTGAAATTAAAAACATAAATTAGATATAAAATATTTCATGTATTACATGTAAAACATAAATATACATTATTTTTTGATAAAATACATGTTTATACATATCTATACACATATATGTACATGTATCAAAATGTGAAATACCCAAATTATAAAATTACATTGATGCAGGAATCTAAAGAAACTTTATTTCTTCATCAATGGTTTCCCCCTGATTCAACATCTGCATAACTAAGCTCATGCAATACTACCAGTAACAGCTGACCAAATAAATTCTCCTTGAAAAGCCAAGCTAAAGTAATAGAATATAGGGTAAAAATCAAACAAAAGAAAGAAGTGCATGTACTTCCATGGAATCAGATTTTACTCACTGCAGGAATCACAGGGGACACGTGCGTTAAAAGACAGATCTTTTATGCAGCCTTTAGCAGCTTCAGAAAAAGAGAGATGCAGATCCACCTATAAAAATCCAGGAAAGAAAAAATGAGCTTAGCTTCCAAACAAACATAGAGAAAATTTAAAAAACCTTTTTACACTCAATCTGGCAGGGAGGGAGTCAACCTGTATGTCTGTGGCAAAGTTTTCTGCTTCATCTTTAAAGAACTGAATATCAACAGTAGGGTTATTACAGATTCCATTCCCAGTAAAACAGAAAAGAGAGAGACTATTGAAATGAAGTACCAAAACCAGATAAACAGGAGATACCTCAGAGAAAATTTTATGGAAAGAATCAGAGAAATGGCCTTGATAAGAATAGTTCATGTCCTCTGCATCTGCAGCAGCATATTCACCTTCCCCTGAACCTCTAGTGCGCACCTTCAAAAGATAATGGAATAAAGAGAAAATATCTCAAACTTGTATATATTTTTATTGAATGAAGAAAAAATTTCTGATAACAGAATTAATAAAGGTTCATATTATTAGTTAAATACAATATTGTCACTACCAGTCTACCAAAGATAGTTGTCAAGGCATCTTGATGATTCTAGGCAACAGTGGAGTGCTTTGTTGCCTAGGCAATACAATTTTACAATGCAAAAACTAAATCCTAGGTTAGTTTCCCAATTATACATACCAATCAATATACATTTAAATAAATTGAAAAAGCAGCAATGCTCTTTACTGATAACATTAGTTTTCCTCTCAAAAAAATAACAAATCATCATATGCAAAAGGCAATGGTGTTTCAAATCAATTAAATTTGAAATTTCAAACACAACATTATAACATAATAATTATTCAATAGAGCATAGAAAACCATTAGCAACTACAGGAAGCGGGGGAGAAAGACATCTCTTTTTCTATTTAATGAGAGAGAGAGAGAGATAGCAGGTCTGTAATGTTAAAACTCTTTACCCTTGGATCATTTTTTTTATACAAGAGGAAAGCAACTACAGGAGGTGGGGGATAACCCTCCCTGCTGAGTCAAGAAAAGTAATAAATTAAAATCCCAAGGAAAATTATGAGAAAAAGTAGTTTCTTGCTCTAGTCCTTTGTTGGGGAGTCAGTCCGCAGCAAAATGTCCTCTGTACATGTGGTTGTACCTTGTTGGCATGTGCAAGACTCAAACAAGTCTTCTGCAATCCTGAATGATCTGATTGCATCTCCAAGGAGGAAGGTCACCATTGAGTGCCTTAATTGTTACAAGAGAGTAGAGAGTCACCTTCCATTATGATGTGTGAGGATGGGAAGAACGTGGTAATTTTGTGCGCTTTGAGGGCAGCTCTCATCTCTGCTACAGTGATTGTAGTACTACCAAACCAATCAAGTTTCCATTTTGAAAATTTTTTCATTTCTGTTTTTCCATAAATATCAGGTGTAAGTTATTTTTTCCCAGAACCATGGAATAGCTCCTTCAACTCTTTCTTCCATCATTGGTACCACCAGCCACTAAAACTCCAATAATCTGTAAAAAGCTTTTTCTGCTTGCTGATCCAATAAGCTTCACACTTGCCTAGCCAGTTGACAATTTCTTATATGTGGTCTGGACCTTCTTCTTCACCACAAAACAGGCAGTCACTATTAACATTTAATCCTCTTTTTCTGATGAAAGTTTCTTTGATGGAATTCTATTCAACAGTAACAGCCAGAGGAAAATTTTAATATTTTCTTGACAAACGTTTATCCTGGCTTTCTTGATAGAATTAATAGTCAATTCTTCCTTCCTCTCTTAAACTGTTGTAGGCCAATTTAACTGTGATATTTCTGTTTGTACAATCGCCTCAAACTTTCCTATCTTCCCTCTCCTCCATTGGGATATGATTTGCCATTATTTTGTCTAATATATCTTGGGGGGCAATTTTCCCTTAACTTGGATTGGTCCCAGCATTTTTTTTTTTGTTTGTTTGTTTATGTAGCCAATGACTTTTTGATTAAAGCTTCATGGGCCAATCCAGTTATCCAACCAAAAGTTGCATTTTCTCCCATTACCAACATCCCTTTTTTAACAGGACTTTTTTGTTGATTGATTTTTTTTCCATGACCAAGAAGCTGACTATGGAGCTTCATTGTCTAGGAATTCCTCTTGTTTTAGATATTTGCCCTGGATTACTTGGACCCACAGATTATCATTTTCATTTAAAGTTTTTGTCTAGGAATTCCTCTTGTTTTAGATATTTGCCCTGGATTACTTGGACCCACAGATTATCATTTTCATTTAAAGTTTTTGTCTAGGAATTCCTCTTGTTTTAGATATTTGCCCTGGATTACTTGGACCCACAGATTATCATTTTCATTTAAAGTTTTCTATCCTAATTTCATTAAATTTTCCTGATTAACTTGGTATATTTTCCTAACTCCCAACCCACCTTATCTTTTATCAGTACAGACAGTATCCCAGTTCTAAGAGCAAAAGTTTTAATATTTTATTTTGTGCCCCACAAAAATCCCCTTTGTAATTTATCCAGTTCCTTTGTGGTTTACTTGGGGATTCCAAACATACTCATTTGATATTGGGCAATATTACCTATTACCGCTTTTAGTAAGGTAACTCTTCCGCCCAATGATAAGGATTTTTTTTTGGAGAAAAAGTATAATGTGTTAACTTGATGAAAAGGTCTGCTGTACAAAGAGTATCGATACATGTAAAAGCCAAAAAAAGGACCTCAAAATAAATTCACTCTCAGAAAAGAAACATCCAAAGTGTCATCCTTAAAAGTGTTTTGAATAGACAACCAATCTCTGAGAAGTCCAACTGCCCTGTTGATGACTTTTGCTTCCTCCTTCCTATGAGATTTTCTGCTCAAAAAATCTGCAGTTTCTCTCAAACCAGATTGCCAAGGGAATGGGCAACCAACAAACCTTCCCTTTATTAGTCATACTGACAACCTGCGAAGGGAGCACAGCAGCTCTGTAATTTTTTTCCGAAGGATAAAGAAAAAAACTTTATTAAAATAAAAAAGAGATGAAATACAACAGAGGTGATAAGATATCACCAAAGAGCAAAAACACCCTCATGTACCCAAAATAAACCAAAGAACCCATAGCTTACAAACAAGAACACCCAACTAAAGCCAAGCAAATGCCCTGAACATACCCAAAACAGATCCTCAAAAAAAAACAACAAGGATCACCAAATCGACAACTGACCCACATCAAAAACCTCTCCCTGAATCGGCCCCCTTCAATCTTCATCCGTGAGAATATCTTCTGGTCTGAGACATCCTCATCCCATCCTTTGCTTCCTACCGAGTGAATTTTTTTCTTCAATTTCTCTTCCTTTTTTTCTTTTTTCAAATTCTTCAAAGGCCCTCCTAGCAAACCCCTCACCCCCACCCCAGAAACACAGACCCAGACATTTCCCGATCGTAACCTCTCTCTCCACTAATTTCTGGAGAGCTACGCCACCTGAATCTCTGTCAATAATACCACTACTTTGCAGCAGCCTGTTCACACCAGAGTTATGCTTGACCCCACTCAGCTCACTTTCCTGATGTTCCTTCGTCTGGAGGATCGAAGACTTAATTTGCTGTGTTGCCTCCCTATGAACTGTATCAGATGACCCATTGTCTCTCACTCTTTTCCTCTTGTACACCCATTTGTATTTTTTTGTAGGTCCTGCCCCGCCAAGCCGAGTTTTAGCCTTGAAAAAATTCTTCATCACATGAACGATGTTATGGTTTCTCAAATTACGTAGCTTCTTATTGGTCTTCTCATTAGTTTGTTCCTCCTCCTTCTCCTCAAGATTGCTCCCTCTACCCAAGTCGACACCCACCCTTCCAACCTTTACCTCCTCGTAAAGCTGACTATCCTCTACAAGGTTTTGACCTTGTCCTTCAAGGGATTCTTCACCAGCTGACACTTCCTTTCCTGTAACCTCACCTTCATTTTCCAGCTCGGCATCAGCACTTTCAACCTCTCTGATTCCACAGAGACAAGAGTTTTTGATGTCGTCGAATCTGATTTTCCAGATTCACATCTAGCCTCTAGGGGCATCACAACAGTAACCCAGGGCTTGGAGGAACCACAAATCCCATCAAGATCCCTACTGGCCTGAAGAAAATGCCCGGTCTCACCAGTCACAGGAGTATATGGGTGCTCGTCAAAAGTCATTCCTGTTCCACCCACTATCCCCTTCCTACCATTCTTGTCAAACTTGGGGATCATCCAAATCCATCTTTCTCCTTTTCTTTCTCTGGCCACATTCGAAATTCTTCTTTCTGTTAATCCACTCCTTTTAAAATTTGGTCTGCTAAGCCCTGGATACTTTCTCTTGACGACTTTCCTTCTCTTGTAATGCTAAAACCCTTCTCCCAAAGCATATCTTTAGTGAGGCACTTCTCCAAGGAAGTAACCCAAGGAAAAAAAACTTTACATTTGATGGAGTTGCAGACCTCCAGATTACTTTGCTAGGAAAAGACTTCCTGGGTTCACCCACTAGGACTAAATAAAAGAATTTAACAGTGAAAACACCTGAATGGTTCCAGCTCCAACTCTTGAATCCTGGGACTCCAAATTTGGGAGATGATTCTGGTGGAAGGCCAACAAATCTGAAATCATTCCAAGCTCCCAGTCATTAAAATTCCTTCTAAAAGAAGAACACCAGCAGAAACTATTACCTTCCACCACAAAAAACTCGGCCACTGTGGCCTCTTTATTTTCCGCCGAGTGTTTTAAAAGTGCAAGGCACAAAAAAGCGCAAGGGACAATTTGCGCCTGAGGCGCAAAGTGCAAGGTAAGGTGTGCACCTTTATGAAGCAAAGTGCAGAAATACAAAAAATCCCAAAAAAAAACTATTATCTAAAATTAAAATACATAAACATAACATGTAAAGTGCACTCAAATGAAATTTTAAGAATATAAAATCAAACATATAAAACATTTTCAAGCATGTAAAACCCACAATATCTTTTTTCCTTAATTGCATTACTTCAAATGGCTAATGTGAGTAAAACATCTTGCATTCTTGATTCTACAAGCAGCTAGGGATGCAAATGGATCAGATCGGATTCGAATCAGGGTATATCCAAATCCGATCCAACACTTTTAATTGCAGAACTGATCCGATCGGATCTCATAAACATGGATTTGAATTTGAATCCGATGAGGCAATCGGATATTCGGATCTGATCCGGTCCAATTTATTTTAAAAAAATAATAAATTATTAAAAGAAAAAATAAAATATAGCAATTTAAATAAAGAAAAGCAAAAAAAATAAAAGTATCTTTTCAACCATTTTGATCGTATATATACATGTTTTTTATAAAAAAAAAATCATATAACAAATTTACAAAAATGCAATATAAATAATATATTTATAAATAAATAAATAACATATATATGTGTTATATATATTTATATAAATAAATAAATAATA